GCTGCACAAATTGTTCTGGAGCCTGATCGTTGCCTGCGTTGCGTTCTCGATATGTTGTCCCTTGACAGTTTCACAGATGCAAAATATTGGTGATTGAGGAAGCGATATTGCTATTTTCGGTGCACCTCCACAGCGACTCTACAAAAGCTCATTGATCCTTGCAGAATTTTCCACCTCTGCGGAGCTGTTGAGGAGCTACATATTGGAAACACGTGAAACGGACAGTTATCAAACTTCAAAGAATTCGTTATACTACAGCAATTTCTTTAACACATAATAAAAACACAGAGCACTTTGTGCCTCAAGGATGACAAAAGCAGAAGGTTGAAAATCAATGCAGTCCGCTATTAGCACCAAGAAGCTCGTATTGAGCAAGATTTTGATAATTACTACATACTACATTGATTTAAAATAGTTACTGGAAGTAATCCTACTCAATTCGGTTTGATTGACTATTTGTTAATAAACAAACGCTTCCATAATGATTAAGTAAAACCTCTGAAAATCAGTTGAATTCTCATGCACTTCTTTCAGTGTTTCCATTCCTTAGAATAAATGGAAAATCTCGAAAACTCTTGATTTTCTATTCTACATATACAGGGTGAAATTTGTGGCAGATTCACGCCTTAGAAGGAATCCGGCAAATTACCATTAACCCTGTATGAATCCGAGGAACTGTCCACATATTCTGTTACAGCCTGTATACAGTGGCGGCGCTAGGCGACGCGCCACAGGTGGCCTCGGAGAAAAGTTATAAAGATATCTTTTTCATCAATTTACGATACTAGACACAAAATAATGGAATTCATAGTGGTCAACTAGAAAAATAAGCTATACGGCGATGCTCTGGAAATCCCCGAGTCATCAATTATACCTGTTTAGGGATGTCAACATCGAGTTAAAAATCTGTGTATCGATAAATCGATGTTTTGCACAAAAATGTACTTAACAAGCTGATAGATAAGGAGCTTTTCACCAGTGACTGTAAAAGTCAATTATTTCCTTCACATTTAGTTCCTCCATTATTCAAATTACAAACAACGGGCCACTTTAGGTCTATTTAATATCACTAACACGTAAAAAGAAGGTGTTAGACAAGGACTAGTCGACCGAGGCGGTACCACCCGCTAGCTTTTCCTAGGGTGTGTTATAGATGTTTCCACACCTAAGCTATGTAGTCGGTTATCTTCCAAAACAAAGAAATTAATGATGATGGATCCCTCGAGCACTAAGAACTCCGGACGTAAACTCACTCCACTCTCGGAATGTCCGGGTGGAGGGTGGGCTCGAGGGAACAACATCGAAGATAAAATTTGTTTTTCGAACATCTGCGGGATTAACAGCAACATTGATGCTGTTCATCACTACCTGCAATCCAATCATCCCGCCGTGCTTTTCTTGGCGGAGACAAAAATCTCAAAGTCTGCACCGATTAACCATCTTAACTTCCCAAACTACGAGGTGCACTCCAATCTGAGTAAGAACGAGGAGTGGCTTTTGTCCGCAGCGGTTTCTCCTGCTCCAGAGATGTTTCTTTGGAATCAGACCGGCAGGACATTCTGTAGCTTCGCCTCAACTCTAAACCATCACCCAAATTTGTTTGCTGCCTTTATCGCTCTCCCTCGGATCTTAAATGGGATGACCTACTCGAATACCTCGCCGTTAAGATCGACTTCCTGAACATCAATCACCCCGCTTCAGAGGTAGTTCTTGTCTGTGATTTCAATGCCCATAATAAGCGTTAGTTGGGCTCAAACAAGACCGATGCAGCAGGTAGTGTTTTTGTATACTCCAACTACCACGAAGGCCTAAGGCCTAAACACCCATTGGGTACCGTGGGGCTAGGGCTCTGGCGAGGGAACACGTGTGCATGCAACATGCACACATTCTGGCTCCGCCTACGAGATCCGCCGGGTGGTACCTCCACGTTCGACAGTCAGAGACCGTCTACCACTTACGGACAATCACAACATCCATAGCCAAGAGAAAAAATTCTTCTGGGACGAGACTCGAACCCGCACAGCGCACGGCGACTGATCAGGAGACCGAAAAGTCTACTACTGCGGCCACCGCTGCTGCCTAAAGTGTGGTCGAAGTGTTCGCTCTTACTCAAGGGCTTACCCAGCTGGTGATGAGCCGTACTTTTTCCCCGCGTCTCGCCATACGCCAGTAGCCTGCTGGATCTCTTTCTGACCACGCGTCCTGTCCCTTACAGCACTGCTGTACTGTCCCCCCTGGGTAAATCAGACCACGGTGTTGTGGAGGTAAGGTTTCGGTCAGAACCCCTGTGGCAGCAGAAACCCGTACAGGCCGCAAAACTTGGCATTACGGACATGCCGTCTGGGAGGGGCTCAGAGACTTCTTCTCTAGCTTTCCTTGGAGAGATATCTGTTTCACTGACGTGGATGCGTCGGCTGTCTGTTCTTCGACAACAGAAATTATCCACGTCGGAATCAAGGAATACATCCCTCACACAGTGAAAGTGCCTAAACCAGGGTCCAACAGCTGGTTTAACAAATCGTGTGACACTGCTCGCCACCAGAAGATCAAGGCACACAGAACCTTCTTACAAAACCCCACTGTAGAGAACAGACAAGCCGACGTAGGGTCCAGAAACAAATATAACGAAGCGGTTCGCAATGCCAAAAAACCAGAACGATATAAAAGTCGGTCTTTCTGGACACTGGCGAAGCATATTGAAAAGAACTTCTCACACAGTAGCCTTCCACCACTTACGTGTCAGGATGGAACTATTGTATTCGACTCAAAGGCCAAGGCGGAAGTGCTAGCCAAGATCTTTGCTGCCAACTCCACCATGGACGTCAATTCAAAGGGTTCCCTACTCTATGCGGGAGGTAACATTCAGGCATAAGACAAGACAAAAAGACGAGTGCTCTTGTCGCTCCACTTCAACCAAGCTCCTAGTCCGGACTTGATTCCTGCCATTGTATTGAAGAGGTATGCAGCGGAGCTGGCTCCAGTTCTTTCGCATTTCTTCCAGATATCTTATGAATCTGGCACCCTCTCAGAAAACTGGAAATTTGCTCATGTCCAACCCATCCCAAAAAAGGATCTAAGACCGACCCTTACAACTACAGGCCTATAGCTCTGCTTTCTGTTATAAGAAAGGTGATGGAGAGGTGCATAAATCGCGAGCTTCTGGACTACCTCGAACGTCGCAGCTTGATTAGCGACAGACAGTATGGTTTCCGGCACCAACGATCCACAGGGACCTCCTAGCTTAGCAATTTTAGAGTAAACTCATCCAGTTTTATGGTGAGGCTCAGGTCGTTGCTCTTGACATCACGAAAGCCTTCGATCAGCTGTGGCACGCTGCCCTCTTAAGCAAACTTCCATCCTATGGCCTCCCAGAAAAGCTTTGCAGATGGGTGGCTGACTTTATCTCTGGTGGCAAGATATCCGTCGTAATTGACGGGTTCTCCTCTTCATCCCACAACGTCAACGCGGGTGTCCCCTAGGGATCGGTCTTGGCTCCAACACTGTTTCTCTCACATATCAACGACCTCCTTTCCTGCACGATCAACCCAATCCACAGTTTCGCTGATGACAGTACTCTACATGCAGGAATTCAGAGTGACGACCCGTTCTCTGCCGCTGACCTGGAAATGAGAAGACTAGCGACGACTTTCTCTCTGACAAGAGACCTGGAGGCTATCACTGCTTGGGGACGCAACAATCTTGTACAGTTCAGTGCTTCCAAAACACAGTACTGTACTTTGACGAACAAAAAGCATCTTAGCAATCATCCAGTTTCGATGGACGGCCGAGTTCTGCCAAAGACCCATTCATTTCGGCTGGTCGGAGTCCAGATCACCGAGGACCTGATCTGGCACGAACACACCTCGTCAATAGCTGCAGCTGCTGGGAAAAAGCTAGGCTATTTGTTTAGGTCTAAGAAGTACTTTTCTCCGCATGACCTTCTCACTCTATACAAGGCCCAGATAAGGCCTTGCCTCGAGTATTGCTCACGCGTTTGGGGTGCTGCCGCCTCGATTACATTATCCATGCTCGATGCTGCCAGAGGAGGACGGTCCGACTGATCGATGACTCCTCTCTAACGGACTGTCTCGGGACTCTTTCGCACCTGCGGGCCGTGGGTGATCTAGCTCTTTTCTATCGCTACTCGAACGGGCTTTGCTCCTCAGAGCTCCCTTCCATGATGTCACCGCGCGATGTGCCTGCCAGACAGACCCGCCTGACTTTGGCATCCCATTCTAACCGTGTCGAACTTCGTACATCGAGAACTGGCCGATTCGACCGCTCCTTTGTCCCGAGGGTGTCGAGATTGTGGAACAATCTACAAGAGGAAGTTTTTGTCAGTTCTACTAACCTTAGATAGTTCAAAAATCGTATTATCAAAGTTTCTTTGGGATCATCATAGCAGCCGCGGTGCTCCGGCATTTAGGCTTCTGCCTGCGCGGCTGCTTCGATATAAAAAAAAGAAAAAATCCAGAACCATTCAAACAAAGAACAAGATTAAAACATAACTAGAAACCCCAAAAGAATAAAGAAGTTTCATTGTGCTGTAAACATCTCAAAGCAAAAGTGACCATAAGAAATTCACACACACGAAAAGAAGTGATTTTAGACCAAGCCCATCATACTAAGATGAGGGTCGTGACTATATGTTTGGCTTCTGAAACTCTGAAACATATTTCTTTGAACTGAGATGCATTCCGTAATTGTAAGAACTTTATTTGAAACAGATACCTCATTCGAATCAACGTCATAATTTCAAGAGCATATTTATGTACTCTTAAAGTTATATTAAAGTAGGACCTTGTCAAGCATTGTAATAAATTAGGTACAATATTTCGGAAGGATAAAAACAGTAGCATACAGCGTATCGAAATATATAAAAAACTCTAGCTCTTAAAATCCAGTTCACCAGACCCTGTCAATGATGCAATCTTATCCAGGACGTTTTAGAAAATTGGCAGAGGTGTATCCGATTGCATAATAATCAAAATCACGTCCAGAGTTCCAGTCAGTACAGCTTCTGCTGAGAGAAGCAGTTCGAATCTAAAGTTGATTAAAACCTACTTGAGAAGTACGGGGAGCCATCTGCTCTATCAGTTCTATCAATTGAAGTGGAATGAGCAGCTGATGTTAAGTAAGCCACACACTGTGAGACTTGCCTCGAGGTACGTCGCGAGGCGAGGTCTCATGATATCGGCAGACGTCAGTCCCCAGTCACTCGTCACCCCACACCTTGAGACAGTATCGCAGACGGTATCACACAGTTCGCTATTTTTTTGAGAGTGAATATAAAATGGCCTTTCATGAATATTCAAAAAAACAAAAAGTTGCACTTGGTGTTGCCATTGGTTTGGTACTATTCGAGGAAAAACAGGAAAAAAGAAAATGGTCAAAGAATTGGTTTCTTGAAAGGAAGAAGTTCTCTCACATGCCACTTTTAAAAGAATTGCAGCAAAAAGAACCCAAAGATTTTTTGAACTATTTGCGTATGAACGAAAAACAATTTAATTTTCTTTTAAATTTAATCCGGCCAGACATTGAAAAGAAAAATACTGTATTAAGAGAAGCGGTATCAGCTGAAGAGCGATTGGTCGTTACTCTTAGATATTTAGCTACTGGTCGAAATTATGAAGATCTGAAATTTTCCTGTGCTATTTCTCCACAGTTACTGGGTGAAATTATTCCAGAAACTTGCTGGGCAATATACAACGCTTTAAAGGAAAAGTATTTGAAGGTACGTTTTTATAATATACTTTTTATTATTTTAAATGCAAAACATATTAAACATTAAACTTAGCTAATGCTGTCAAAAAATACTTATAATTCAGTAAACGAGTAGTAATACAGTTAACGTAATATTCCAGTGGCAGAACTAGTCTTGGAAGTTTTCATAATATGAATAAATATCTCCCTGTGCAGTTGGTTGTTGAGGTTGCTGCTCAGATTGCTGTACTGTATAAGCTATATTGGAAAAAGTATTACTCGGTTCCACATGGGTGCGGGCCTGTCGTACTTCAAAGTTTTCATTTAACTTATTCAGTTTGCCGTAGTACATTACATCATTTATAAGCTTTTCTGCAATTACTCTCTGATTAGATGTCATTTGCTTTAAATCAGAAGCAAATTTTTTTCCTGCTATGTCGCAGGGATTTTCAGGTTCCGCACATGTAGGGGGTTTAGACAAAGCCCTATGAGCTAGTTCCACAAGTTCATTTTTTTTCTCCTCCATTCCTTTTTTTCTTTTTAATATTTTAGTTCCTAGTGTTGGAGTTGATGTTGAAGCCGATGAACTTGGCCTAGTAGTACTTGGTAAAGATTCCGAGTGAGCAGGAGGAGAAAAAGCGTTATCATAACTGTCCTCATCTCGAACATTGTTTTGATTCTAAAACAAATAATTATTATTAATTCAAACAATTTAATACTACTTTTTTATTACAGTTTCCATCTTCCGAGGAAGAATGGCGCGGGGTTGCAAAGGAGTTCGAATGTTTGTGGCAATTTCCCAATTGCGTGGGTGCGATCGATGGAAAACACATACAAATAAAAAAACCTAGAAACAGTGGTTCATATTATTATAATTATAAAGGAAACTTTAGTGTTGTGCTAATGGCAATTGCAAATGCAAAATACGAATTTATAATGGTTCATTGTGGGACCAATGGTAGGGTATCAGATGGTGGAGTTTTGAGTGAAACCAAGTTTTATGAAAAGCTTATAAATAAAAAATTATGTATGCCCGATCCGACAGAACCCCATGCAACCAATGTGATGTTACCATATACATTTGTTGGAGATCAGGCTTTTCCATTAACTGAAAATTTAATGAAACCATATCCAGACAAAAATTTAACAAGAGAACAAAAAATGTTTAACTACCGACTCAGTAGAGCACGCAGAGTATCAGAAAATGCATTTGGTATTATGGCCTCACGATTTAGAATTTTTCACACAATAATTAGCATAAATGTAAGACATGTGGATGCTGTAGTATTAGCCAGTTGTGCATTACACAACTTTTTAACACGAAATGGCTCAAATCGATATATACCGCCATTGTATGCAGACTCTGAAGACGTACATTCCGGAGAAATAATACCTGGCCAGTGGAGAGAAATAGGAGAACTTATACCTCTGCAACGAATAGCGCGTGCTTCAAATGTGTCTGCGAGAGAAATTCGAGATAATTTTAAAAATTATTTCAATAACAGCGGAGCAACCGATTTTCAGGACAGGATGGTCGTTTAAAGAGTATTAAGTTTTTATACTGAAATGTCTTAAATAAAATAATAAACTACTTACTGTTATTTCACTCTCTTGACTTTCGTCTTCGCTAGTAATAGTTTCAATTCCTTTTCTAGGGATTTCAGTGTCCGAAATAAAACTTAACAGGTCAAAATACCAAAGGCTGGGTACATATACATCATCAGCTTGTGTACCCGTAGGCTTCGACTTCTGTACTTTTTTCAGCTCTCTTCTAAAAGCACAGCGCATGTTATGTATTTTTTTTGAGACATAATCTCTATTTGCCATTGGATATATTTCTTTGCATTTTTCCACCAGTCTATCTAACGCTGAGTTTTTCAAATTTCTATCCATATACGTTTTAGCTTTCACATCCCATAAACATGGGTTGCTCCTGTACATTTCAATAAATTCTTCCCAAAATTCTCTTTCCTTATTCATCTTCTTTATTACATATAATAATTATAACAATTTCGGAACAACGAAATCTCACGAGATTCATGCGACTTTGGCACACACGTTGAGACTGGTCAGATTTTTCCTCGCGGCAAGTCTCAGTCTCCCGCCCGCGTCGGTCTCGTTGAGACGGTATCACACGATACAAAAATTATCGATACCGCAACACACACCATGAGATTTGTTATCAGAGATCTTGGTCTCGCGGCATGTCGCGAGGAAGATCTCACAATGTGTGGGCTACTTTAGTTATCAGAGAGGCTAGTGGCCAAAAACTTCATCTATTTTAATTTGTGTTTGTTTATTTAAATTTTATCGTCATTTAGTTAGCAATAAAACTCATACACCAATATATTAGTGTATAATTCATTCAATTTAACGCTTTTTTTACTGGAGAATGGAAGAAGCCTCGCAAAGATGATGCGGCTGATATCCATACAGTACAATCGGAGAAAAGCTCGAGAAATGTGTATTAACACATGCTATACTATAACTATCTAAAACTGTAATGACTCATCGATGTTCACGTGAACATCACTTAACTACCAGTAGTCGGCTGTTCATAGGCGGGGTATGAATGTTTAACATGGGTGAACTAGATTTGTCACATGCTTAATAAAGAGTGGTTTGAAACATATTGTAAGTCAAAAATTTGGGAATTACCTTTATTCATCGTCGCTTCCACTTACATCTGACAGTAATAATTTGTCGCTATCGCTTTCCTCGTTGAAATTGACTATAACTGGCTCTATGATGGTGACGATGTGGTGGTCAAGCTGCCACATTTTTGTTTCTTCCTTCACAACATGACGGAAAGCATTCTGCCAAGCTTCGGGCGTTACTAGCTGTATGGAAGTCTCAAGTAAAACCATAAAGTCTGGTAATTTGAAGGTTGTGATATGGCGCGCAATATAACCCTTCACTTGAGCCCAGATGAGCTCTATTGGGTTCAGTTCACAGTGCTAGGGCGGTAACCGCATCACAGTGACACCACATTGACGGGCCATCTCATCAGTCACGTAACTAATGTTCGCAGGTTTGTGCTGTCTAATTTTTTCATACAATTCCGCTTTCACACATGAATCGTCAAACGGGATTCCTTTTTCGCGCAACCATTGCTGCATGTCACTTTTTCGAGATCCCATAGTCGGTACACGTTCGGCTCGACGACTATGGTAGGAAGCATTATCCATGACGATCACACCAGGTCTCGAAGCAGCTGGCATTCATTTCGTCATGGAAATCACCTCCTTTCTTAGAGACGAAAATCAAGTCACACTCTTCTAAAAACCTGCATTTACCCATGTCTCGTCCAAATAATAGATTTTTCTGCTTTGTAACGAAAATTATTTTCGTGCAGGGATTTCCTCATTACCTCGACGCTCATTTGGGGTATAATTTCATTTTTCTTGATCGCTGCATGTACAGCCTTGAGGGTTGGTATCTCATTCCTAAAGAAGAATGAATGTACGGTTCGCCTTAACGCTATGTTGCTATCGTCATTCAATTTAACGGCCTTTCGTCCCTTTAAATTAAACTTTGGATCAGTAGTAGCTCCAGTTTTCTTCTTTTCATGCACCACCCTGCGAATGGTCCACTCTGGAACGCCTGTCATACTTTCACAACGCGCGAGTGCATCTCCCTGCGACATAGTTCTGTTCAGATAATTGAACACGTTGAGCACGATTTCTTTCGAGTCCCTCTTCAGTGCTTTACGAAGCCGTCTACTTGTTCCCTGGCTTTCAGTACTTCCACTCGTGCCATTTGTACTCTCCATGGTTAAGTATAACCAAAACAGTAACCACAGAAACCACAACAATAACAATCACACAACAATTCTTATAAAAACACACAATATGCGATCGCTCAACGAAACACGTTCCAATGCGTTGCCGACGCCTGTGAGTCTGCCGGTCGAGGCGCGTCTTTGATTTCATTGGTTCTACCGGCCGAGAACAATCAGCGATTATTTCCATCTCTGTCTGTGCTGTTGACCACCGCAAAGCCACAAAAACGACATATGTCGTACGCTATACGGCTGTACTGGAAGGAAGCCGGGATTGAGCTCTGATCACGTGTTGATCACGCGTATGAGTCATTACAGTTTTAAATAGTTGTAGTATAGAAGGAGATAGAAACCGGCTGAAGAGCGAAAGTCATCATCGTTGGCTAGCGACGGTGACAGAGGTCGTGCAATCTGTCGCGTTGCCAATATGTTACACCAGAAAGCGTTTTCATTTTGATTAGAATTATTTATTTCAAGTTTGATGCGACTTAGTGTTTTCATTTATTTTAGAATCATCTTTGGTTTCCACCGATGATGATAAGATCAACACATCCTGAGCTATTGTTACATTTTGCGACAGATGGATACTGCCCAACATCGCTCATCTATGATCATCGAGGTGGAAATCTTGTCTTGGGATGTACGAGGTGCGGTGTTGCCGACCGAACCAATGATGCAATATTGCAGAATTTATGGCAATCCTAATCATTTCGACCTAAAATGGAGCGCCGTTAGGACCAATCCGGAATCGATCCTAAGCAGATTCGACACAATTCACAATTAAAAAATGTGGACGCTCAAAATAAAATAATTATTTGGGCATAGAGAATAGACTAACGCATATTGTCATCATGCATCTTAATTCAAGGAATAGGTGTAACATATTGGAAGCGCTGCAAATTGCAGCGTCAGCGTTGCTAGTTTCGCTATCCAGCTGACTTCTATCTCTTTCTAACGTATGTGTCTATACACACTTCCCTCTCGTGCACATTGAACACACTCAAGCCACCAGACAAATTTGGTTCTTAGCGTATATGGTCTATTGCCGCCAATGCCTGTATATTGATTCAGAATTTCAGTAATATCAAGGATTAGACCACCCATTTCTCGGAAGAAACGTTGATCACGACAATTAAGAGGCAATCTAATTGTATTTTTGAAACGCCTGGATACATCCGACAGCACCTTGCATTATAATTTGTAATGATTAACGAACAAAAAATTTCCGCTACTCAACAAATGCTTTATCTGTTGCGATATACGTAATAGTAATAAGTAATAAATCATTAAATTACCTTTTAATGAACTTTTTACTCGCATATTTATGATAAGTTGATCTACCTCAGTAACCATGCGAAGATACGGCGATACAAATTATAAAATTATTCAACTCTTAATTGGTGCTACGTTAATTTTAATGGCAAAATTCGTTGACTTGAGAGCAGGTAACATTCGGTGAGACTATTTTTTATAGTTTGATCCCAAGTAAATATGATGGATGTCTATTTTGTGTAAATCCACTAATTTCGGTTCCAGACTCTCAAATGTCACATTAGCAGCAGCTACTGGGTAAGTTACTTATGCAAAATATAAATGCACATATTTTAGACCGGGAGCTGTGGGCAAAAATGGGGGGGTCATGTGATACAGCAGGAAACCTACTCAGAACGATATATATATATATATATATACATGAAAAAATAACTTCTAGCACTATGCCGTCACTTGAGAGCGGTACATGTAAGTACAGGGGAAAATTGAATTTTCTGTCCAGAAGGGGTCGGAAAAGACTAAATGATTTTTACGGCTTTCTTTAGTATCACAGATGCCAACAAAATAATCACGATGCACTTAGTGCCGTACGGAAATAATGGTGCCGGAAGCCATAAACAAATTTTAATTTTCAGGAAATTTTCTATGCGGAAAAATTAATTAACTAACGTACGGCATTGTTACAGTTACCTTTCTGTAGTTTTTTACATTTAAAATTTACCAACGCCGTACATATCTGCTGGTACAGGGGTGAGAAAACTTGGGTCGCAACCCCCTACCCTTATATAGTATAATGGTGGTGAATTGATACACCTTAAAATTAAATAATTTTAATAGTATTTGATAAATTAACGACAATTCTTATAATGCCGTACATTTTTCGTGGAATATATGGCCACGAAAACCCTCTACAACGCGTTTTACTTTATATTTTTGAAGGATATTTCAAATTTCGATTGTGATTTAAGATTTAACTGTGATTTAAATCAGTTAAATCGTGTCGGTAGCCCCTCGATATTTTCTATCAAATTAAAATAATAAAGTTCGCACTGTTGAGTAACAGTCCGTGTATAATTAATAATTAGTAAATTTTAGTATTTTTAAATGAACTTGAATGGTAAAAATCTGACGATTTTCTGTGAAATCAGTCACGCGAACATTTTAGATACCTAGGTAATAAGATTTAAAATTATCCGTCTTTTTACAAATAAAGCTTTGTTGTGAAGCTTTTATAATGAAAAAATACTATTATTTAATAGGCAATTGCAAATTGTACTTTTGCTAATTAGCAATTGCATTAATTACAATATTTGAATATTGTAATTAGCGATTATTAGAAGAAGGTCATTAATACATATACAGGGTGTCCCAGAAGTCGACGTCAAGCCGAAACCGGGTGATAGGCAAAGTCATAACGGCTATCAGAAAAATATTTAAAAAAATTTTATGTATGTGTTTTGAAAATTCTAGGTCTTTGAAAAGATATTAGAAATTTCACACCCTACGGCAGTCTGTCAACTCCTGTTACTACAAATATTAACTTTTTTTGGATTTTATTTTTACAATATAATGATGAATAATGCATCTTCAAACTGGTGTCTCAACCTTACTGCCAACTTTTCTCGTTCAGGAAAAATTGCCACTTATTTCCCAACCAAGTATTCCAAAGTAAAACTTTGCTCAACTTTAACTGGCTGTACTGGAAAAAAATGTACTACGAGAGTTTGGCAAGTAACCTTAAAAATTGGCGCATTTAATAACGATTTCAAAATGGTATAACACTTAGAAGATTACTCGTTAACTTATGCACAATTTTTATTTGAAAAAAAACTGATGAAAATTTTTCAAAATTTCCTAATATCAGCCGCAATACACGTTCGACATCTTCTTAAAAAAAATCGGGTTATTAAACGAGCGAATCCACGGTTATTAACAAACTCAGCTGCTCCCAATAGTCTTTGCCGTAGCTCAGCTACATTTTGAATCGGCTTGAAATACACTTTTTCTTTTACAGTTCCCCAGTAAAAAAATCTAAAGGATTCAAATCTGGTGACCCGGCTGGCCACGGTATTGTACCAGACCGCCTTATCCATCTGCCCGGAAAGTTTTGATCGAGATACTCTCTCACTGAGAGTGCATAGTGCGCTGGGCAGCCATCATGCTGAAACCACATGTCCCTGTAAATGCTCAGTGGCACGTCCACCAATAAATTTTGTACATGATTTTTCAAAAAATCCAAATAAACTTCAGCAGTCAAAGTCTCTGGGAACTCAAACGGACCGATTATTTTACCATTTAAAATTCCTGTCCAATGGTTTATCTTGAAGCGATATTGAGATTTATCTTCTCTCATCAAATGTGGGTTTGCTACGTGCCACTCGTATAAGTTATGCAGGTTCATGTACCCATCTTTCTTAAATGTGGTCTCATCCGACCATAAAATTTTTTCAAAGAACTGTGGATCTTTCCTGTGTCTTTCTAACATTGTGCGACAAAAAGCAACTCGGGGCTCATAATCCCGGGGCAGGAGAGGTTGAACACGCTGTATGTGGTATGGATGAAGCACATCACTTACTTGCTATTGCACACTTTGATACCGATCAGTACTCCTTCGTTTACTGCGCATCTTTACATGTTCGTGCTTGTTGATTTCGTACTGTTACTAATTTTGGATTCGTGAACTGGACTGTTGATCGCTTGTGATTTAGATTTGGACTGTTTAATTGCTCTTCAAAACAACATTTGGTTTCCTTAGACAGTGCCACTATGTCCGTGTACACCGTACAAGAATATGCTAACATGCACCTCATTTATGGGGAATGCAGATGCAACGCTAGTGCTGCAGCGAGACTACTGTGAGAGGTACCGATTGCAGCTCGTCATCCAGATCATCGAGTGTTCACAAATGTGCACCGCTTACTGTTCTCAGAGGGCCAACTACCAAACCAATCACACGGTGAGGGAATATCTTTCCTTCCTTACGAAGACGTGGTGCTAGGAGCTGTCGAAGAAGACCCGAGTACTTCAGTGCGTGCAATAGAACTAAAAACAGGTGTGCCCAAAAGTACAGCCCATAGAATCTTGCAAAAAAACGTGCTCCATCCATACCACGTACAGCGTGTTCAAGCTCTTCTGCCCCGGGATTATGAGCCCCGAGTTGCTTTTTGTCGCACAATGTTAGAAAGACACAGGGAAGATCCACGGTTCTTTGAAAAAATTTTATGGTCAGATGAGACCACATTTAAGAAAGATGGGTACATGAACCTGCATAACTTACACGAGTGGCACGTAGCAAACCCACATTTGATGAGAGAAGATAAATCTCAATATCGCTTCAAGATAAACCATTGGACAGGAATTTTAAATGGTAAAATAATCGGTCCGTTTGAGTTTCCAGAGACTTTGACTGCTGAGGTTTATTTAGGTTTTTTGCAAAATCATTTAGAAAATTTAATGGAGGACGTGCCACTGAGTATTTACAGGGACATGTGGTTTCAGCATGATGGCTGCCCAGCGCACTATGCACTCTCAGTGAGAGAGTATCTCGATCAAAACTTTCCAGGCAGATGGCTAGAGCGGTCTGGTACAATACCGTGGCCAGCCGGGTCACCAGATTTGAATCCGTTAGATTTTTTTTACTGGGGAATTTTAAAAGAAAAAGTGTATTTCAAGCCGATTCAAAATGTAGCTGAGCTACGGCAAAGACTATTGGAAGCAGCTGAGTTTGTTAATAACCGTGGATTCGCTCGTTTAATAACCCGATCTTTTTTAAGAAGATGTCGAGCGTGTATTGCGGCTGAAGGAAAACAGTTTGAGCGTTTGCTGTAAAGGTAAATCATCATCAGCAGCTTTTTGACGCCCACTGTTGTGCAAACAGTTATCCTTAACGGTCCTTGTGCGTTTTCATAATCGCTGTTTAATTAGGAAATTTTGAAAAATTTTCATCAGTTTTCCTTCAAATAAAAATTGTGCATAAGTTAACGAGTAATCTTCTAAGTGTTATACCATTTTGGAATCCTTATTAAATGCGCCAACTTTTAAGGTTACTTGCCAAACTCTCGTAGTAGATTTTTTTCCAGTACAGCCAGTTAAAGTTCAGCAAAGTTTTACTTTGGAATACTTGGTTGGGAAATAAGTGGCAATTTTTCCTGAACGAGAAAAGTTGGCAGTAGGGTTGAGACACCAGTTTGAAGATGCATTATTCATCATTACATTATAGAAATAAAATCCAAAAAAAGTTAATATTTGTAGTAACAGGAGTTGACAGACTGCCGTAGGGTGTGAAATTTCTATATTTTTTTCAAAGACCTATAATTTTCAAAACACATACATAACATTTTTTTAAATATTTTTCTGATAACTGATATGACTTTGCCCATCACACGGTTTCGGCTTGACGTCGACTTCTGGGACCCTGTATATGTATTAATGACCTTCTTCTAATAATCGCTAATTACAATATTCAAATATTGTAATTAATGCAATTGCTAATTAGCAAAAGTACAATTTGCAATTGCCTATTAAATAATAGTATTTTTTCATTATAAAAGCTTCACAACAAAGCTTTATTTGTTAAAAGACGGATAATTTTAAATCTTATCACCTAGGTATCTAAAAAGTTCGCGTGACTGATTTCACAGAAAATCGTCAGATTTTTACCATTCAAGTTCATTTAAAAATACTAAAATTTACTAATTATTAATTATACACGGACTGTTACTCAACAGTGCGAACTTTATTATTTTAATTTGATAGAAAATATCGAGGGGCTACCGACACGATTTAACTGATTTAAATCACAGTTAAATCTTAAATCACAATCGAAATTTGAAATATCCTTCAAAAATATAAAGTAAAACGCGTTATAGAGGGTTTTCGTGGCCATATATTCCACGAAAAATGTACGGCATTATAAGAATTGTCGTTAATTTATCAAATACTATTAAAATTATTTAATTTTAAGGTGTATCAATTCACCACCATTATACTATATTGCGACACAAGTTTTCTCACCCCTGTACCAGCAGATATGTACGGCGTTGGTAAATTTTAAATGTAAAAAATTACAGAAAGGTAACTGTAACAATGCCGTACGTTAATTAATTAATTTTTCCGCATAGAAAATTTCCTGAAAATTAAAATTTGTTTATGGCTTCCGGCACCATTATTTCCGTACGGCACTAAGTGCATCGTGATTATTTTGTTGGCATCTGTGATACTAAAGAAAGCCGTAAAAAATCATTTAGACTTTTCCGACCCCTTCTGGACAGAATATTCAATTTTCCCCTGTACTTACATGTACCGCTCTCAAGTGACGGCATAGTGCTAGAAGTTATTTTTTCATGTAGTACTATCGTTCTGAGTAGGTTTCCTGCTGTATCACATGATCTCCCCATTTTTGCCCACATCTCCCGGTCTATTTAGTTGATAGATGTAAGCTGACAGTGTAAAAAAATCTTCATCCTGATTTTGGTACCACACCTCTAAGCTTGCAGTCCTCAAAATATACGTCTATTAAAATAAGGTCAGCAGATCTGGTCCAGGAATGTAGCACCGTCTATAGTCTAACGTTATCTCTTGCCCTCTAGTGGGTGCCTGGACAAGGTGGTGTACCTGCTAGCAATGAAGTGGACCACTTAGCAAGAGGCCAAGGGAACCGTAATCCAACAAATACGATTGTAGGCAGACAAGAAAGTCATTAGCAGGCTTAGAGAAGGATCAAACTCGTCTCTATTGAACATAAGTCGAGTCGCTCAATCTTACAGTTGGTTTCTCATATCCGTGGATTGAACATACTCGTGTACTTTGTGTAAAAATATAAAAATTTGATACATATACTGAGAAGAAAATGCAGGATAGTTCTACTTAATAATAAATACGATAGCACCTTCGCAGTGATCGACTCTGTTTATTGATGGCGCTTTGTACTGTCGTCTTTCGAACCTCCCACTTCCTATGTATGAGGCCTCAGAGCTCAGCTAATCGGCATGGAGGAGTTTCGTAGGTAAGAGGCCTATGAAACAGACTAGATATTATGACCTTCGTACCATTTGGCAGGTTTCAATGGTAGCTACGATATTAGTTTTAGTGTTGGTGTCAATGACCGATAAAAAGGGTTAAGGATGACCTGGATGCCAGGCTTCGCATCACATCATTACTTCCATAACTTAAAACTATAAAAAGAGAAAAAAATTGTTTCTAATATAACTTTTATTTTTTTTAAATTCATGCTTGTTGACTAATAAATTCAATCTAAATCTAATTATACAATGGGCTCTTCTAATATTTGCATATATTTTTACAGGATTACAACCATCATAAAATAATTTACACATATACAGTACTATATACAAATCTATGCACAGTATTTACATATTCGTATCTAATTTGTAATTTAAATATCCTTCCAAATTAGGAAGTTCTATAAAGCAAACGGCGAATAGAGATATGACATACCTCAGGGCTAAAATAACGACAGTTTCATCTGCTGTATTTTACATAAGACAAGTTTTAATACTCTAGACAAATAGTAGTTTGAGAGTGATATTCAAACATTTATTTAGGCATCAAAACTGATGAAGTAATTCAAAAATCGCAAGGATAATTTGTGAAAACAAGAAACATCCAATTGCTTTCAGTTCTTGAAACAGAGCAGTCCAAAGTCACGCTTTCACTCTAAGGCAGTGGTCGCCAACCCGTAGATAGCGAGCTACCGGTAGCTCGCAAAGGCAATTCTGGTGGATCACAACATATTTTAAAAAGGTGTAAAAATCATAGAAGCTTCCGTAAATTTTGTAAGCTCTCATAATAAACACAAGCAGCGGCAACACTGCGTAGAGCGATCTGTTCGAGAACGATCTCGATTACTTTGAACGGAATAAGTACGCAAGGCGCGACGACAGTGCGCTCAGTTTGAAACTGAGCGGCATAAAGTCCAGAGGTTTCCATGTTTTGTAATAATATCTGTTTCCTGTACATCCGAATTCTGAAAAGTCATTCCCATACGTTCTGCAACATGAACGGAAAAACCGAAACAATCAAAAGAGCAATTAATTGGACAACAGACAATGATTTTAAAAACAATCGACAAAAGTAAGACTGCAACTGAAGCATTATACCGGGTGTCCCAGATAGTTACACAAAAGAAGAAACCTTATGAAGACGGGGAAATGATAAAACAGGCGTTTTTAGAAGCTTCATTATTTACCAACTTTAGAAATAAAGACGAGATAGTGTCTGCTGTAAAATCTATACAACTTTCTGCTAATGAGACGAGTAGAAGTAATGAGCAATGATATACTCTTACAGTTAAGAAATGACTTCGATAACTGTGCTTATTTTGCACTGCAGCTGGATGAATCCACAGAGTCGTTGACACCTCTCAGATAGCCGTGTTCGTCATGGTTTTCAGTGACTTTACGATTAAAGAAGATCTTTTAAAATTCATTCCACTGGGCAGGCCTTATTTTCTTCTTTTAAAAATATGACTTTTTCTGAGAAAATTCCAATATCGAAAATGGTAGGCTCGACAACCGATGGCGCTCTAGCTATGGTGGGTCGTGATAGGGTCGAGGGGTTATGTCGTAAAGACGAAAGTTTTCTGCAATTTCTCTGTTACCACTGCATTATCCATCAGCAAGCATTTTGTGGACATTTTCTAATACTAAACAACGTTATGAAATTGGTAGAAATTGTGAACAAGATTAGAGCTCAAGCGTTACAAAGAAGATTATTCAAAACCTTGGCAGATGAAATTGACTGTCAATACGGGTAACTACTTCTTCACTCTAAAGTCCGATGGTTAAGTAGGGGCCAAGTGCTGGAGAGTTTTAATGATATCATATCTGCCATAGTTAAATCTTTCAAAAAACGTGAAAATTCAATCTGGTTTAGAGATTTTGGTGGATGTTACAGAAAAATTAAATGAAATTAATTTGTAGCTTCATGGTTGAGACAAAGAACTAGCAGACATGATTTATGATATAAAACCGTTTATCAAAAATCTTGAGTTTTGGGAACAAAACCAGGCATTTTCCTGTTTCAAGGACTTCAACGAAATTGCTATAATGGCGCAATTTGCTGTTTCACCCTTCATGGAAATCGATATCCAACAGTTTGCAACTTCTGTTACGCAGAATTTTAGCGAAGACATCGCTGCGATAGATATTTGTCTCGAATACAAAATGTATCTGACCTCCAGTAAGTAAAGATATACATTCTGTTTTATGTCGTGTTGCCTTGAAAGTGAAAGCGTTATTTAGTTCAACCTATTTGTGTGAATCTTCTTTTTCAAAGTTTATTGAAAACAAATCCCGTAATCGACTTACAGATGAACATTCGGATAATTGTATTCGAATGGCGGTATCAAATTAAACTTCAAACATTGAAAAAAAATGTCAGTGAGTCCGAGTGTCAAGCTTCTCATTGAACAAGCATTTTTTATTTGGACATATTTTTATTTAAAATAGTGCGTTGCTTTTTCAAATTTTAGTTACCTTTATTAAATCGTATGTGACATGCCATTATAGCTGACGAAAAATTTTGTTTATTTTTCAAACACCTACGGTTGGTAGGAATGGATGTACTTATGTAGTATGTATTAGTTATTAGTTTATTTAAGTTTCTTAGTATGTAATAGTATCAGTAAAATAAACATGTATGTCGCATACAACTGTGTATAATTCCATTTAAGTTGGCTTGCATTGCTTAGGACCAGGTAGCTCACTGTTTTTTTCAAAATTACCAAAGTAGCTCAACACTCTGTAGAGGATGGCGACCACTGCTCTAAGGTAATTGTAATTTAGAGAAGTTTATTTATACAAGATCATGAAGCAAATGATACAAATCTCACCTGTTTCACAAATAGTTAAATAGACAATATCGGTCAAATCACTCCTGTTTTTCTGGCCAATCATACCACATGTGTTCATTTCAAACTTTAAGATGAAACCACACAAATCCAGCACAGTCTGGGGTAGGCATTCCCGTCCAAAACGATAAGCTACCATGAAGTGATGTGTTGTTTTTTAATATATCACATACATCACCCTTGTCCATCGTCCCGAAAACACCATAAGCTCCCAAAAAGGAAACACTGTATAGGAATGTGGAAATGAAAAGAAGCAATAAACGAAGTATCACCTGAAAGACAAACAAGTAAAATATGTTGTCAAAAAAGTGTCAATTGTACTGTAATAATAATTTTAAACAATGTGGTATGATTGGCTAGACAAACATGAGGTATTATCGACGTGAAAACCACATGATAAGTTTCAAATGTTACATTGATCATATTTTAGTTTAGACAGTCATATGTAGTTATCAAAAACAAAATCCATATGACGTTACTGATCATTACCAAAAAGAACCCTTTATTCCAATAGCAGCTTTGTTTGTGCCAGTGTGCGAATGGTAAAAATATTTGAAGCAAAGCTGCAATATCGTATGTCAGCTGTATTCCACTACAACAACTGAATAAGTTCGAAAATGAGATGTTTGAAACTGCTGTATTTCTCGCTAAAGGGCTTGGCCAATAGAATAAGACTTTTATTACGGGTAGCGATAGAAAATTGCCCTACGTTTCATGTCAATCTGTTAACGTCAGATGTACACAGGTTACTCTCCTAACTTTTGACAGAAGTAGGGTCAGAAATTTCACGTTTGAGCTTTGGAGGACAGACTCTGCTTTTGGATATCACTATTGTAGAAAGTATTCTATTGTGATATGGCGCTGTCACTATGATCAGAAGATGAAACAAGATTTTATCAATTAAAAATGCGTGCTATAACTTTCAGAACTACTAATGACTAGTTCATTTTCAAAAACCTTGTGGCGGTCCCCTTTCAATATGATATTAGTCATACACAGACTTTGCTTTTGGATATAAATATTGAAGAAAGTATTATATTGTGATAGGGTGCTGTCGCTGTGATCAGAAGATGAAACAAGCTTTTTGAAATTAAAAATGCGTGCTGTAATGTTCAGAGTTGCTAACAAAATTTTGAAAACTCGTGGCTGTACCCTTTCAACATGACATTATTCAGTTAAAATGTATGCTATCGCTAGTACAAAGGAGAATCTTCGCTAGCTATAATCAAAATACTATTTTGCCTGTTTCCAAAGTTATTGCTAGATAAGTCAAATTTTATACAGTAATGTTGATAAATAATCGCTGTTTACAACAAATTAATCGCCCAAATCGGGACGGTTAATTTTAGCAATGAGCCATCATCTCAAATTATTTATCAATCTATATGTTCTTGTTGTCGTTTCAAATTTAAGACAAATTAATTTACTTTATCTGAAAGCTTGTTAATAAATTACCGAAGGTTATCGTATCACTTTCGGGGGTCAAACGCATTAAAGTTGATAACGTTGGCCATACCAGACTATTTGGTGTGTTGGTATGTTACCAAATGATCGGTTGATTGAAATATCGAGATTAAATGAACCATGATCTCCAAATATAGTTTATTTTTTATTATTGTGATTTGTAAGGAAAATGTTATTAACTATTTGACTAGGACGAAATGAAAGCATTAGTCTACCTCAACATTTAAAATTATGACAGATTTATATCAGTTTTTTCCTCAAACTGTCATTTATTCTTAGATTAAGGGAGTCGCAAACATACTATTTGTGAACACAATGTCAGAAAACTATGTTAGAAAAGTCACACAATTAACAGTTCCTCAAAACAGAAGTAATTTGACCCATCGATCAGCATCATTTTTTGTGATAATATATTTAAGGTTATCGTCTACTGTTATAGTAACTATGATAGATGTCAGGTGAGACCAAATTCAAAATTAAGTTTGATCAACAAGATTCGGTTGTATAAAATGCTCATAAGACCCGCAATCACCTCCGCATGCGCGGCTTGGTGTTCTCTTGCCAAGACGCACATGCAGAGACTGCACATCCTGCAAAACAGAACCCTACGCATAATTACTAACGCCCTTTGGTACTTGTCAAATGAGACCATTCACAGAGATCTTGATATCCCATATCTAAGGGATTACGTAAAACAACAGGCGCAGCGGCGTTATAATCAAGCGGAATCGCACAGCAACCCTCTGCTGCGTGATGTAGTATATTACACAGTCGAGCAAGTTCGCAAACATTCCAGGCCGCGCCTCGAACTGTGATCAAAATCAAATTGTAAATTCAGACCAGCCAAAATTACTCCAGTATACAAAACCGATCAAAATTATTTTTTGTCGAATAGTCAAAGCAATAATGCTTAAGCTATTTCAAATAATTTTCTTCTTTTCTGTGCTCTTTTCTTCCTTCCTTTCTTTCCTTCTTTCCCTTTTCCCCTTAAACATGTTTGGTATTTGGGTAGCCAGACCTGACAGACTAACAGACCGACGAGACTTTTAACTAAGAGCAAAGGTCCACCGGACCGCTTTGACGAATAATGACGAATAGTAAAAAATAGTCAGGTGAGACGCGATCTTTGACAGTCGTTAAAATTAAGAATAGCAATAATCATAATATTTATTTGCATAAATTAAATAAATATGACATTTACATGGGCTATTACAATTATTTAAAACACTGTATGAATACATAAGAAACATTTTTACAATAGTATGAATTATTTGAAATAATTTGTTTGAGAATTTCAATGCGAAGTTGTTCATTTAACCAAATCCTCTATTCTTGATAGCCAATATGTTATTCTGCATATACTTTTGAGTGGCTTGGAGACATTATGATATTTGGAACGAATCAAATTTCCCACTTTTTTCTTGAGTTTTCGGAACTATTATGTCGATGTTATTTCAGCAGAAACTGCCGCTTTGCCACTGAATGTTCCATCATATATGGACGACTCTTCGACCATAAAAGTGGTGAATTCAGTGATGACGGATAGCAGGAGTAACGTCATCGTAACTGTAGCTTAAAACAGCGTTGGTGGCGGAGAAAAGACTTCGTTTTTTGACAGCATCCTGACTATCTTAAAAAAATAGGGGTGGGGGTTGCAGGAGAGTTATCTAATTTTTTTATGTTAGTATGTCTATTAGCTCCCAACCTCGGTAGCTCTACGCATCTATTAGTCATATTTGACATATCATAGACTTTGTGCCAGTTTTGTTCTGACCTTAATGCCGCGTTGCCGCGTCTGACGTGTTATGCCGTGAGGTATCGAGAAAAGGCGACGTTGCCGGTAGGACAGGGAAAGACTGTCTATGAACTAATTGTTTGGGCGTGTTTGGCTGACTTGATCTGTTCAATTTCTCTGTTATACATGTCATATGTCCTTAGTAACTACGCAGTTATTGCGATGGCATACAATGTTGCACCAGGCGCTGCGTTAGCATAAGATAACAACTTCTCTCTAATCACTTGCTTACTTAGTGTCTCTATTCCTCTATAGTCTATTGTTTGTCCATTGTTCATTGTTATTGTCTATTTTCTGCTGATTCTTAGTCAGCATCTCAAGTCCTATAAATTGTCTCTCCGGCATTTGAAGTGTGCCCAATACCCGGTTAGACTCCGTAATAGTCACCTGTAAACTTTTTGTAATTTGTAACTTGTAATTTGTATGGTCTGTAGGTTCAGACCTCGATAAGGTTTTTATAAAAAGTTATTTCTAAATCGATTGATTTGATATACAATACATGTACATGTTCGTAGCTAACTTTTTTCTCGGAGCGTCTAACTTGTGTTGAACATAAACCTTTTAAACTGATGATGGCGTTTCGTGTGAAGTGCAGATTCAACCTACTTGACGCCATTTTTACTTATTACTTGAAGTGGTGTGGTGAGGCGATAAAAATAGTAACTCAGTAAAAAACCCTAATTTCGTATCGACGTCAGCAAAGCCTTATCTTGGCACACCAAATAAACAAGCCTTGAAAATTTAGCAGATGGTAATGAATTTTATTGTTTTTTTCTGAACACGATTGTATTTGATGATAGGGTTAAGCACATTTGTTGCTATATGAAGTGGTATCAAATCAAAAGCGTCTTCGCTGGGGGTTATTAAAGTGGATCACGCTCCAGACTTACTGGCATTATCGCTGTTAGGAATATTTTAGATGGAAATATTTCCAATTGGTATTTACATAATGCAATTTTTAGAACTTATCCTGTTGTTTTCTCCATTATTCGCCTTACGAGGACAGTCATTTGAATCATGAAAACAGCGTGATCATGACGTAGTAACAATATATTTTTAGCAGAAGGCAAACAAATTGT